ATGATGCGAGTCTCCTCTCCAGCCGTGCCAACGGGTGGTAGAACTGTCACTTCTACCACTTCGTTAGCAGGCTGGGAAGGAGCTAAATAGCCCTGCCGCCGAAGATAAGATACATAATCCCTAAGGTTTTGGGCGGAAAAAGCGGCATGCTCCGGATGTGTTTCACACCACAGAGCATGCAATCTCGCCATGTACCCTCTTCGCGCGGGCTCACTACTCTCGTAGCAATGCATAAGGCTATCTCTCAGCTCATGCGTCCACTCAAAGCGTCCGTTGTCGTTGCCAGGGTTGTCATCAGTAGGCAAATCATCGTTATGGGCCCCACCACCTTGCCTCTGACCCCTCCGAGCGGGTCGATTGTGGGGGCCCCTTCCTTGATCACTGGGAACCAAGTGTTGGGTCCACCGGGTGGTTAGCCCTGTGGACCCACGGCCGGCACCGGAGGGAGACTAGAGTTCTCCTTCCCGGGTGCGCCTGGGCTGCCAGTCCGGTTTTGCACCAGTTGCTCGGGTAAGTGGTGTCGCAACTAACCAAAGGCCAAGGGTGTTAGTGGCCATCCCTGCTTATTTATAATATCATCATTATAAATAAGCAGGGATATTTATAATATCAGTTCATAATCATCATCATTATCGTTATTATTATCATCATAATCGTTATTATTATCATCATAATCATTATTCTTACAAGTGCAGTCTCACTTTTGTGTGATACAGGAACATCCTCGGCTGGACCGCACTCGTATTCTAAAGATACAGTGCGTCGTTTTCAAAAATTTCAAAAACAATATCAGTAGCGGAGTTAATAAAGAACTGATTATTCAAGTAATATAATTCGTTGAATGAAACAAATATTTTCCTGAGATACACCATTATCCACGAAGTATAATTTGAAATCTCAGTTTGAGCTTTCGCCATTTTTTCGCATCTCGCCAACACATCCACCATTTTATATTCGAGTCAAGTTTCATAATTCATAATGTAATTAAGCTTCCGCTAAATGATTATTTTCCTGTATAATTTTGCCAAACAGAACCGATATTATTGATAATTTGGATTTAGGTTCGACTCAGCCACTTCAAAGTTGACCCTGTAGTTTGACTATTTTGAGCAACTTTTGTTCTATAAAGTTTTTCCTGAAAGTCAATGCTTTTCTACTTAATCGAGAGTGGAATTTTTCATGCAATAAACCCACGTTTTCAGACAATTTTTGTAGGATACCTTAAAAATTAGATATTTTATCGGAAAAACTGTTCTCGCTAAAAATTCAACTCATAAAATAAAAACAAAAAAATGGTGAGTTGATGATGTCTGCAGACTCAATATAAATAGCTTGTTGAAGTTCGGTTCCTATTCGTCAAAAGAAGTATGACCGGTTTGATGTGCTCAGTTTTGAATAAATGCAATTGCATTTTTGTAATTTAAACAAAAATACCTTCTCCTGTGAAAATCTCAAAAAATAATGATACGCAAAGTACAGCTATAATTTACATTCATCCTATGCTTTACTTAATATTTTTTTAATTGATTTGAAAAAAGGGCAATTTTCTGCGAAATTACTGAAATACTCTTTTATTTTAAGCTGATTTTTTTTCAAAACTAAGCACTACAAACCGATCAACTTAAGTCTATTAGGTAATCAGTAATTTAATTTTTTCCATATCGAACCTAAGAACAAATCGAAATTTCATTACTGATTTCTGTAATATACAACTATTTCATTGTTAGTATCATTTGATGTATCCTCATTCTTTCTCAGTTTCTAAAACTATTGAATATTTGAGGGAGAGTATGAGGCTTATTGGTCTCAGTGAAGAAGTAATCGAAGACTACATGCAATTAACAAAAATATGCATGGACCAGAATTGCTTCCAGTTCAAAAACACTTTCTACAGAAAAAAAACTAATAAGTACATTTAATTGTATGATTTTCCTTGTAGTGAAAATCATACAATAAACTGTATTGATTAGATTTTTAATATGAATTTTCATCAAGTATCGGCCAGTTCTATTCAATTACTTTCTACAGACATCACGAAGGCACGGCAATGAGAAACCCACTGTTCCCCTTTATTGCTGATTTGTTCATGAGCAGATCTGAATTGGAAGCAAAAGAGGTATTGAATTACTTTTCACAAACTTAAGATGAACTTCCGTCGAACGGACTCGCTTGCGACTAGTTTTGTTTTCAAAAACAAAAAACTTGTTTCAGTTTCGATAACAAACTCTAAACCGAAATTCCACAAAACGAACAAAAACTAGTCCGATTCGCATGTTTTGTTGTGAACACTATGATTAACACTACATGAACAGCAATTGAATGATTGCATTCTTCAACTGTCCATTGCTTTTTTAAGCTAACGTTCTACATTGCCAAAATCAAAATCAACAACAATACATCAAATTAATAAAAATAGCCTGCCTATTGCCGATAATCGAAATTCATACCCATGACAGGAAGTAATGAAATGTCGCCAACCGTTTCCACAAAGCGAACTTTGTTTACAAAAACACCGATAAAATACTGAAATCTTTTGATCTTTCCACCTGCCGACGCGACGGGACATTTCATTGTTGACAATAATAGCTGCCCGCGACACAGTCTCATTTTGACAATTCGAAATCGACATGTTTGCTGTTTCGTTGTGGTTTTGTCCGATTGGTAGAAATCCGCCATTGGTGATTGGAACTAACCAGCGTCTAGAATTTGATGTATGTAGAACAAATACCAGTAATTTGAGATAAATCCCTAATAGCTCACAACATTGTTCCAAAGGCTTGATACGTTCCCCTAGAGTAAAGAAAGATACAATATTGAACAAAATGTTATCATAAACATAGCTGGATGCAACGGTATTCTTCAAATATAGTAGATGAGTTGATAAGGAAACATAAATTTAGAGGGCCTCGTTTTTAACATTCTTGGATTGATGTCGATCCCATAGATGATATCTTCGTGAGGGTAGGTATCATCGGCTTCACTCACATAATCTACTGTAAGTATCAAACAGTTGTATTATCAAAATATTTCAAGTGCTTAATTCATTCAAATGAGAATAGCGGTTCAAAGAGGATTTCGAAATTAAGCTGGGATATATAAAGAGAATAATGTGAATATGGGCGAAAAAAAAATTTCTACAAAAAGTCCACTTTTTTCGTATATATCCAGAAACAAAAGAGCTAGATCTAAAACGAGCAATTTTCCCAATTACCGGAAATGCAATACACTTCTCGATTCGCGTTTCACCAACCAAGTAGGCGTCTTCAGGTTTTTGATAAAGACAAAGCACAAGCAGTACAGGAAAATCCTTGAGGCGCTCTCAGAGCGGTGCTTGTGCGAAAGTACCGATTTACATTGGATTTGAATTGCTGGAGATCGAATCCATTTGAAAAAACGTTTTTGGGAAGTTTACTCCACACAAACGCAGTTATCCAGATGAAAAAGTTCCCAATCAGTGAAGTTCGAGGTGTACTGAGTTGAACCTCAAAACGATGAGCAGCCACAGTTCGTTGCGTATTTCTGATATGTACCGCTCTTGTTGGAATCGAATGTGCCAACTCACTCGAACACCTCCCGTGAAAGTATCTATAGAAGAGAGACAAATCTCCAACCTTTCTTCGATGTTTCATGATATCAAGGTTGCACGTGATATTCCTGTCTCCAATCAGGCAAATGGCTATTTTCTGTATGGAATCCAGCACCTTCAGGGTATTTTTGGGAGCAGAGCTCTATACATGAGAACAATACTCGAAAGAAGGTCTGATCTGAACTTTATAAAGCATCAAAAGTTGTTGAGGTGTGTACAGTTTTCTGGTTTGGAAGGTTTTTAGAAGCAGCCTTTGCAATTCCAGCGACATGATTATGCCAAGACACATTGGGGACCATTTTAACTCTCAACAAACTCATCAAAGCAGAAAGCGGAATTGTCTGACCTGACATTATTATATCCGGTTCGGAGATATTTATCTTCATGAAGAAAACCGATGCCTGGGATTGTGTGGCATTGAATTGAACTTGGTTACTTTCACCCCAATTCGAAATTACTCCTAGATTCTCGTTAATATATTCAACCTCCCGCTGCCGGTGAAAATGTGCTTCCCCAGCAGATGTCACGGGATCCAAATATGATGACGAGATAAGTGTGCTGTCGTCAGCAAAGCAATATATTGGATTCTTGGTTTTTTCCAATAAGTCGTTGATATACAATAATTTGAGAGTTGGAAACAATATGGATCCCTGGGAAACACCAGCGTTGATGGTGAAAGTTATCCATCGACGGACTGAAGACCCCAACTTAATTGGTGAAAGGCGCATCGAGAAGGGTATTGCATTTCTGGTGATTGGAAAGTGCTTGTTATGGATTTATTCAACACCAGAGGTTCCAGTTTTGTCTTCTATGAAAAAAGCTAGAATTGACTTTTCAGTATCATTCAATAGTACCCGAAAAAGCTCTTACCGTTTCTGAGTTTCTCATGTATAGTTTCAAATTTGAATAACCTGAATAGATGAAAATATTTTGTTACAGATCATTTCCTAGTGAATACAGTCAATTTGTAAAATTCTGGTTTAGAGTGGAATTATCCTATGTGCATTCGGGTTGAAAAAATACACTTTGAGACTAAAAAATAGTCAAATATATCAACTTACGTTTTCTTAGATTTTTATTATTGCAATGCCAAATTTTGATATGAATCTAGGAAATATCTCATTGCATTTTTGATATATTTCAATGTTCCACTTCTCTCATCGCTTCTGTATGTTCAGAACTTAGAATTTCTCAATTCTGCATTATAGTAAGAAAAAATTTTCCTTGGTTATATGATAATCCAAGGCAACTATAAAATGTTGCATGTCAAATTTAAACGGTACATTTTCCATGTTAAATACGCGATGTCGATGATAAGCGCGCAACATCTACTTAGGCCATGAAAACGTTTGCCGGCGTTTCCATAACAACCAAACACTATTTAATGATTATTATTGCTGTCAGTTTGCCAAATGCGGTTTTAATTCAAACTGAGATGTCATTTTGAAGAAGTTAAAAGATCTATATAAGTAAAACGTCAATATAATTAATTGAAAAATGGGTGAAAATTCAAGTGACGATGATTTAGATGTTTTTTTATTATCATTATTTACCAAGGGTGAGAAATATTAATCCTCGTTAGGAGAATGGAGTAAATAATATCAATTTCTCAGGTTAGTAGTGAAAAATTTATATTTTCAACTGAGCCTTGAATGAATATGAAGTAACAGAATCTTTAATGTGGCATGGTAATTGGTTGAAATCATTCAATCCTCTGAAAAACAACGATATCATACATTTCTTTGTTCTTGTCCTGGAAATGAAGAATTGATTGATGGTTCTTGTGTTGTAGTCATGAATTTGATTATTGTACGTAATTGAGGAATACAAATATTTTGGTAATAAATTTCTGGTTATTTTATAAATAAACATCATACTATCTGCCAGTCTCTCTGCCACATCATACCACTTGAGGGCACTCAGCATGCATTGAATGGGAGTGTATCTATTACATTTTAAGTGTTCGCTAGTTACTCCATTCCTTCAACAAACCTCATGTTAAAAATGTATAATTGAAATGATAGTTTCATCAATTCTGTATTCGAAAATGTTTGTTATTATAACGCAGCAATGCAAAAAAAATTAAATAATCCTTCGAGTTTTTATATGATTTCAAACTAGAAAGTGAAACTGAACAGACAATTTCACTACCTTTGTGAAATGTTTGAACAGAGGACTATTGAATGATAAATTAAAAATAACCGTATCCCAGCTTTATTGTACACCATATATTTCTCGGATGAATATAGTTTTTATCTAAATGCAAATATTTTGGTAAACTGGAACTTTCATCTTCAAAAATATATTAAAAATATATTCTCACCTTCTGAAAAGTATCCGCTAATGCATGACTAGCGTTTCCTATGGCTCTGCAGTTTATATACCATAAGGCACAATTCATATTTATCATCGTTATAATGTGATAATAGGCAGTTGTGTGGTACAGACTGAATCCCTCTAATAAAGCACTGAGAGTTAGTAAAAAAACTACTGCTAGTATGAGGCAGCCAAGGCTAATTATGACGATGAGTGAACTCAAGAAGGGAAATTCCAGGTTTGACCCTAAAATTTACAAATGAATATTGGAATGCTGTATAATATGTTTACGATTGATTTGCACTGACATCATAAAACCACTGACTACTGAAAGACTGTAAATTGTCTATCTGATATCTCATTAACATCATTGAGGAAAAGAGGAAAATGTCTTGAGGATAGTCAAAAACGATTTAATGATAATAACTTTCAACGCACTTCTCGTTGTGTCAAAATCTATCAACAACTATTTTTAATATACAATATAAGAAACAACACATTACGAAATATATTTTTTAATAACCTCTCATGCTCTCTTTCATCAAATAATTTGTTCAATTCCATTGCCTGTCGTAAAATGTAAAAAGTTTGGTAGTTGTATTTGCTACTTGATATTCTGATGCCTTTTTTTGTTCTGGAATAACTACATTTCATTCCCAATACTTTAAAAAATAAAGTATTTTTATAAATAATGCTTTGTAGGGGAGCATGGGGAAAATGGATCCCAATGAGCAAAATTGTTAGAAAAAATCACATTTATGTCAATTATTATGAATTTTGATTAGGAACTTGAAGCTTGTTTATTTCAGTATGGAATATTCACATTTGGAATCAACTACACATTTGTACATTTTCCTAAAATTAGAGATTTTCCAAAAAAGGTCATTTGCTCATACGTCGGAAAATCAGAGCCCATTTATTGTTTTCAATACAAAAAATAAACATAAGATTATTAAAAAAAACTAGAAATAGAAATAGAACCTAAAAATAGGATCCAAACAGAAAACACAAATATAAGATAAATTGATGGATGTAGCCGTTACTACGTAGTAGGAAATCATTATCAAGAAAAAAGAATCGGAACTTTCTATGTTTTTACCACGTTCATTTGTAACTAATGTGACTGCAGTTTCGTCCTATAAAGACATTTTCAAACTTATACATTAAACTAAACTAACGTGGCATGTGGTACGAATATCACTTCCACATTGTGGAAGTGGCATTCAGACCACATGCCCGGTTATCTGATTTCCTTTTCAATGCCAAAGATAAAGTGGACAAATTAGAGAAATCTGGAGTTTATAAGCTTATGTGTCCGGAGTGTAATAGTGTTTATGTGGGATAATGTGGTCGAAATTTCCAAAAACGGTATGCTGAACATGAAAGGTCCTTCAGACTAGGTAGAATTGATTCGACCTTTTCAAACCATTCCTTGGCATGCAACCACAAGTTCCCGAATCTAAACGATACAGAAATTTTGTACTATGCAAGGAAGGGTTGCAAACTCAATTATTATGGATATTCACAAGCATGAACAATGCGGGTGCAACCTGTTAAATGATCAAATCGATTTAGTTTACTCACCGGTTTTCAAATTAGCATATCCACATTGTCCCAATAAACAAAATTCAGGTACTCAATCAAGCCGAGTTGTTACCTATGGTGGTGTTATATAAGGGTTAATGTAATCGAACATTGTTAGTTTAATGTATAAGTTTGAAAATGTCCTTATAGGACAAAAATGTAGTAACGTTAGATACAAATAAAAGTAGTAAAAATATAGCAATTTTCAATTCTCTTTTCCTCACGAATATAAGAAGTTGGATCATCGCTGCCAGAACATTTTTTATGCGCCCAATCTCCACAACTTATACATCTGTACCATATCTCCCCATTCTTGCCTGTATCTAGACAAATTGCACATCTTTGGTGTATTTTCCTCAGGTACATTTCCTTTCGTTACCTTTTCCTTTGGTACAATTTTCTTTATTACAGTTTTGTTTATTTTTCTCAATCACTTTTGTGTTACTTTCTTTTTCCACACTTTTTTCTATTTTTCTTCGAATACAGCTTTCATCCGCGTGCTTGTTAAGATATCAAAGTGCTTCTTGTTTTTTAATATCCTGTCTATTTTTTATTAGGGAAGTCGAGTTGTGGCATTAGGCTCACAATGGACGCAATAGAAGAAAATTCAATAACTGTATCAATGTTATCGATATCGGTTTGACAACGCCGCCGGCTACCGTTTAATGACGACAAAGTTGTGATAGATCTGACGATAGCTGGCACCTGAATTGCACCCTGATTTGGTAGTTGAATTTGTATATTATTCAAAATGAATGGAGTGGGTTGACATTGTCTGGTTGCTCAATAACTACCTACTGTAGTATATGTGTGTGTTATGAGATTTGGAGTGAGAAGTAATATCAATATCCACAGAGACAACTTTTTTATCATTGGCAACACGTTTCTAAGCTTTGATAGCTATAATCTTGAACAGTCGTCACATATAGTCTCATCTACGTTGTAAATCTTTTGTGGTTCAAACTTATATTTCAGCACCAATGACTCCAAATTATCAAAAAATCGTGTCAACTCAGTTCGGTTAAATTCAAGCATTCTATTCATACTCCTGACTTCAAGCTTTCTGATACTCAGATTAGGATGACGCTGTAAAAAACAGACAGCCAATCTTTTCCAATAGTTTTATCGGTTTTGTTAAAACTTTCTGCAACACCTAGTTTTTCAGCCATAAGCTAACTTGTTTCACGAAATTATTTTTTTGTAAGTTCATAAAATTTATTCAATATTAAACGGAAATAAACATCTTTTCTTGTTGAACAGTAAAAACAGAATATCGTCCCAACTTCGTAGAGCATTTATAACTATCATCATTAGCTTGAGCTAAATTGTATATCTTCCTAAATGTACTGTAATGTACACCAGTTCCCTGTGATACTTTGAAGAAGAAAATGTATCCTCTTTTGAGAATAGTAATTGCATTTTGCAATGAAATTATTGTCCAAGAAGCTTTTTTGTTGTACGATCTCATTTACGATGAATCCGAAACAAAGATAAAAATAAAAACCTTTAACTGTACTGAATATTCATTATGAATTATTTGAAAAATGATAACACAAATATTTTATTCAACTTTCACTTACAAGTTAGCAAATAACACTTGAAAGAAGTAAAATTTGGCTATGGATTTAGCATAAACACAATGATATTAGGATATATAATCATGCTTACCTGGAAGCTGACAATTTAAACTTTTTTATAAGCGTGGATCGAAAAACAATCATTCCTTGTGACTCAACAGCAAGCACTGAAATGAATCAAGTACATCGGGACAACTTTTTGATAGTTGAACACTTTCGGTGCTAAGCTTCCGTTCAAATTCCATCGCTCTCATTACCCTACGCTCCCCTACGTCTATATTCTAGATTTTGAGCCAAACATATTGTAGCTTCGTTTGGAAACATAAACACTGGCTACAGTTCATATCCAAGAAATCTCTATATAGTCCAATTCATGGTAAGCTTCACTTCTAACTACTTTTCTTCTATTGGGAAAATTTATAATGGTTTGTCATTGACTGAGGCATTGACCAAGATAATGCACCTCCAGCATATGCAAGAAAAATATTATTGATCGTCTTCATAATAGTGAGCATCAATGAAAATTCTCAAGCTTCTGGTTGTTTTGTATGTAGCTTCGATGGTTCGAACTATTAGTTTTACTTGAATATACTTAATGTGATTATTAGGATTTCTTAAAGACATGGAAGTGACACTGATTATCTTAAAGTTTCTATGGGGATCATAATTGAATTCAGATAAAAAAATATTCAAAACTACTTGTTTAATATTCAGTACGGTCATATACATACCTGCAATTTTATAGTAATGCAGTTGAAAAGTACCCCAACCGTTTTTATAATCACATACTTCATAAGCCACTCCCCAACCAACGAAAGGTATCCAAAAATGTGGGATAAGAAAGATGATGAAGATAATAGAATAAATATATTCATCAAATTTTCTGCTTTTGTTCAGTAAAATATCAACACGTTCATAGCCAACCATCATGACTACCACTGTTGTTACTGCATAAAATATGTAAGCATAAAGCATAGGACCACTCATCCATCCAAAGGTTATTTTCCCAATTTGCCCACGCTGAACCGGCATCACCCCAAGTAGCTGAAAATATTGATATGTAGATAGGAAGAGGCTCGAGATGAAGATAACAAATGATAATATAATAGTTGGTTGTTGTTGAAGAAGAAAAAACGATGTCATCTACGAATTTATTAGCAGAAACATATACTATCATGTCAAAAATTACTGGGAATTGGTCAATGAAACGCAAAATATGATTTATTCATCCAAATTTATTGTATCGCTTTCACAGTAGGCCCCTTCCGCTATAATAAACTCACGTCAACAAACAACCCAATTAAAACATTTTTCAAACGCTTTTTTTGAGATTGACTCCAGTACTTGCTGACAATCCTTTTTTATGTCTTCTATCGACTCGAAACGGTTGCCTTGAAGCGGTAATTTGAGTTTCGGAAAAAAATGGCAGGAACCACATCGGGAGAGTTATTGTTGAGTTTTTGGCCAAAAATTCATTCACAATGATAGCTTTGAATATTAGTGGCGTTTTATCCCAACACCAAACCTTAATTTTTAACACCTCGATACGTGTTTCAATCACCAAATGTTCATCTTCAAGAGGAAGATTAAACTAAATATAATACAAACCCTCATGGCCCCTCTAGGTTGAGTGCCCTGAGATAGAATCTTCCCCCACGGTAACTGTGTGCAGAAGCTAGAAACTCGTCCATCCACCCCCACTTATTGCAGAGTGGACCTCAACCTGCCAATGGGCACTTCAGCAAGATTGATATGTGGCCTACTGCAGTGGAAGGTCAGCCTTTAGTTGCTTGTGCTTTCTTTATCTGTTATTTTTATTTAACGTGACTTTACTGAATGTAATTTTTGCATGGGGCCCCCATAAACTAATCGGAGATAAGTGTCTTTTGGTCGAGAACTAGTGTTTGATTATGATCGGAAAAAGAAGTGAATCTTAGGTCTCTTCATACAATTTTTATACTACCCGGAGCTGCCTGACAACGACTCAAGGGGGTGGTCTCTGGTGCTGCTTCGTTGGCCTCTTGTGTTTGTCTCTTTCTCAGAATCTTGGGTCGTTTCATTCCGAGTGTGCCATCCTCCGGGTGAACAGTATCGCCTGACTCTTATCAAGGTTTACACAGATTTTCCAAAGGTTGGCTCATTACTCTAATCCTGTTCGCGTGTGTTGGAAGTATCTGTTAACTTGCACATGGCTAGTTGATCTCACCAGAAGAGCTGTGACTTCGGCTTAGAGTGCCAACTTGTTGAAGTTGTTCTCAAGCTTGAGCACGTTTGCTATGTATACCGAGAAGAGGTATGGCGAAAGGACTGCACCTTGTGGGACCCCTACTTCCAGTAATCACATGGTGAAGAGTTCTTGTCCTACTCTGCAGCGGCATCGCTGGTCAGCTAGAAAAGATTCGATTATTTATTTCGAGTAGCCAACATTTCTCATTTTGGCTAGTAGTCCATCGTGCCAAACTCTGTCGAACGCCTTGGAAACGTCTAGGAATATCGCTCCGGTGTGGTATCCATTGCTGAGATTGAAACTTTTGTCGCATAGTCTACTACCCTCAGGACTTGTGGCTCTGTCGAGTGTTCGGATCTGAAACCGAACTGTTCATCTGGTAAGATGTTTGCTGGTTTGGTCCTCTAGTCTTTTCAAGATGACTCGTTCTGCCACTTTGCTTATGCTTATTAGCTTATTAGCCTATGGTTATCCGTAAATGTGGTTCTCCTTTGGCTTCGGGATGTGAATGACCGTTGCCTCCTTGAACGGGTTAGGGAAATGTAGTCTGAGTATAGCGTTAATGATATTCGTCATTGCCGCTATATCCTTCCTTGGTAGGACTTTCAGTGCCGGTATATAATTTGGTCCGGGCCTGGGGCTTTTCGAGTGGCAAGGCATCTTAAGATGCTTTTCACGCGCGTTGTCCCTTCGCTGCCGTATTATCCTTCGTACCGTCTCTTCGACCTGGTTTTCGATTTCTTCTACTTCGTCCATGAACGAAACAGCATTTTCTCTACAGAAATTGTCAGCAAATGCTTCCACTTTCTCTTGGTCCGTGTAGACGATTCCTTTTTCGCAGTGTATAGGCAGGTATGGTTTTCGGTGTCGCTTCCTAAGAATTTTCTGCATTTAAATCCAATACATACAATGCTATCCTAATGTATACCATAGATACCTCTGCTAGGTACCTGCTTAATCGCGTTAAAATAATTGTACAATGTTCCCTTATCTACTAGTCAAGTGAATCTGATACCTAAAAGTATTGTTTACACAAGCTATACAGTAAACTATTAGATGTCTGTTAATGTTAACTCGTCCAACTAATCTTAATGAAATAAAGTCTATAGAATGGTTTGGTTGCAAAACATGATGGGCGACTGCTGATTTTTCTGGTCTTTCATATTTTAGATGTGCTAAGTGTTCCTTATATCTTATTTTAATAGATCTTTCAGTATGTCCAGACAAATCTTCCTCTTTTAGATAATCACTTGGTGATTGAAACACGTGTTGAGGTGTTAAAAATAACGATTTGGTGTTGGGATGAAACTCCAGTAATATTTATTACTACACCAAAGGTTCCAAACAGTGCATTACAAGTAAATTATGATAGCCTTGTGGGTTGATGCGTTATCATGGTGCAATAGTTATTTATGTATCAAGGGAATTAGGAGGGCCTTAATTACCGATGGCAAAGTTTGCGTCCCGAGGGCCTCTGGCCCGAGGGACAGCAATTGCCTGAGGTTATTAAGGCTCATTAATTCCCGTGGTACATAGATAATTTTATTTCTGACCGATTTCAATAAAATTTTGTTCATTTTTGAAACGGAAAAATGTACCAATTCATTACCTTCCCGGATTATTTGAATCAGGTACCGTTGATTATAGTAGAGTTTTCTTGTTGCTAGGTTGTTGCTATGTTACTTGTTTATAAACAGAACTTTGTTATCAAGCTGTGTTTGCGGTGAAAACGTGTTTTCTACCCCAAATATAATGGAGGATATTTTGAAAAAAGCTGAACAGGCAAGAGAATCATTAATTCCATCGAAAAGTGAAGCCGTATACCAAAAAGAATACAAGATATATCTGGACTGGCTGACACGGAAAAATGTTATGCCAAAAGATGTCACTGAAACTGTATTTCTGGCATATTTTCAAGAACTGGTAAGGAATTTTCTATGTTTTTCGGTAGATTTGGTAGTAATTGTGTTTATTCGTTTCAGTCAGAAACGTATAGTCCGAATTCTTTATGGACTAAATGGTCAATGCTAAAATCGATGGTGACTATACATGAGAAACGAGATATCACCAAGTTCAATGAACTACGGGCTTTTTTGAAACGGAAGAGTAAGAGTTATAAGCCGAAAAAGTCTGCTGTTTTATCTCCTAAAGATGTTATCAGATTCCTAAAGGACGCTCCTAATGATATTCATTTATTGCATAAGGTAATTTTTTTCTTATTTTCCTTTTTGTGTGTATTTATTTCCTTTTTTTTGTTATAGGTTGTTTTGATTATGGGTTATTTTGGAGGATGCAGAAGTCAGGAACTTTTGAATATGAAGATATCGGATATAGAGGACCGGGATTCCGTTATGGTAGTGAACGTACCGGAAAGTAAAACTGGTGTATCGAAGAAATTTACAGTTGTGGATGAAAAAGAGTTCTCCGCTTTGCCTTTATTAAGACTTTATATGTCTTTGCGTCCTAAAGGTATTTAACGATTTTTTTTGAGCTTCCGACAAAATAAATGTACATCTCAGCCAATTGGAAAAAACATGTTTGGGAAAATCCCCAGCAAAATCGCAATGTATTTAGGATTGCCAAACTCATCTTCCTATACGGGACATTGCCTTCGTCGCACTTCTGCTACTGCTCTAGCCAATGCAGGAGCAACTATGACTAACTTAAAAAGACACGGAGGTTGGAAAAGTTCCACGGTGGCGGAGGGGTATTTGGAGGATAGCATCGAATTGAGAAATAAAACGGCGCGTATGTTGTCTACTTTGTCATCAGAAGAGGCAGGTACCTCGACTGTAGTGAACAGAAGCTCCAGCCATACAAAAGAAGAAATTGTTTCCAGTGGCGGAAGTAATTTTCAGGGAACATTTCAAAATTGTACATTTATTATTTGTAATGACGTGAATAAATAAAATATGGTTCAGTTTTCATTTCTATTTATTTTTACTTGTGAAAGGTAGAGGGAATTATAAAATCTATAATGTCCCAAGGGAGTTATGACCCTCTTTATTGATAGCGTAACTATGACGATATAAGCTTATAATATCCCGGTCAGAAATAAAATCCTTAATTTTTTTTCACATATCTGGTCTTTTTTGACGAATAATAAAAGATAATATTCTTTATTTATTGTCTCTCCTTACAAATATTCCGAGTGCACAACACCACGGTAATAAAAAAACTCTTGATATCACCTTCACTTTTAATCGACTTTGAAGAGCTTTTTTCAGTTTCGGTTCAGTTGGAAGGCACCATTCCAAACCCTGTTGACTGGTTTGCATATCAAATTCGTAAACCCATGTCTCATCACCAATTACACTACGTGTAATGAATGTGGCGTCGGAATATGTCTCCAGTGACCTTTACGCGATTTAGTTTTTGTAAAAAAATCAAGTATTTCAGGTTTTCATGCACTAGTCGAACAGAAGTGAGTTTCATGCCTGAAAAAACGTTCAGAATGATACGAGCTGACTTGTGAGACGCAGAAATTTCAGTGGAAATCTCTCTCAGACGACGATTTTTAGTTACCATTTCTTTTTAAGATTTACGATCTAGCACTTCTACATGCCGATGCCTGTTCTAATTTCGCTTTTCTTTTGAATCAAGAAAATTTGATCAACGTTCCAAATTTTATAACACTCTTCCTAGGGAATTTTGCAACTTTTCATTGTATAATTTCAAGAATAAATTGGAAATTTTACTTCTGTCACTGTATGTGATAATTATTATATTTAGTATGTGATTATTAATGATATCCCTAATTTTATCTACCGAATATTTTATAGGTTGGATTTACCCTGCTAGAAATTGTTAGGTATAGTTGTATACGAGTGTTGATTTTTATAACTTGCTTGAGTCTATATAATTGAATTCAAATATTACCTGTACTGATTATTTTATTTATCTTTTGAAAAATTAAGTTGAAAAACAATTTAGGCTGATACTATCGACAATTACTTGTTCTATTTTATTTTTGTACTTTTTGTACATTTTGCTGTATTTTGTGTTGATGAATAAAGACAATAATTATCATAAATTTGAAATAATCATTATTAGATATATTCCTCAGAACATGTATTATCTTGTTTTTGGAAACGAATTTGTAATGGCATCGTTTTTTCGTCTTTAACAAGATACCGTCATTCCGCTTCGAGTAACTCGTTTATTGAGACAACAAAATATTTTACTCACCCTAAATAACGCTAAAAGTAGTTTATGATCTCTGTAAAACTGATCATGTTCGTCAATAACTTTGCCGTCAGCAGAATTCAATTTGGATCTTTTCGCAATTTCTTTGGCTCTGGGACTTTGCCTTATATGTTTCTTGAATTGTCTTATATTGAGTTCTTCACCATAAACATCAGCTATATCTTTTAATTCCATGCTCATTGAAATGAAATTCGGTCAAGTTTTCCACTTGAAATGAAATAAACGACTCAAATTCACGAATAGTAAGGTGTAAGTAATTAGTCAGATAATTGTTAATCGATATATATTCAGCGTTTTCAGAAAACAAATATTTGACTTTTGGGATATTAATGTTTAACGCATAATCGAGAATTTCTTTCGGTTATACCTTGACGTGATAATGGGCCCATTAATGTGTTACTCCTGTTTTGAAAGGTTGGTCTTGAAACGACTCGTTCTGCTGCCGAGACAAAAATATTGACTTACAGATAATTCACACGGTTATGATCAAAATCAAATTTAGGATCACCAAATCGTCAAGAGAAAACGTAAACATCTTATACGTTCCCTTTTTTCCAACATTCATTATGTTTGCCCTTCAAATCACCTCCAGGGGTCAATTTTAGAATTACTCAAAGTCAAACTTGGTTGTAATTTTACCACTATTTTCGTTTCCGTGATAATAACTGAAGGTGCATTTGACAAAATTGACAATATTTCAGTTACATTTTTCGTAACCTCACTTCTATGAAGATTGGCAATGAATATGAGACTGATGTAAATCAAATTGCCAGACTTCCTGAGCTTTAAAAATTTGCCAAGGTTATTTTATGATAAGTATATGTGTACGTGAGATAATAGAGATTCCATTAATCTACAGCTTTCTAACGGATCGACTACCGTACCGACAGTGGTAATGATCGATCTATATATGGCATGGGAAGATTTTTGTGTAGTAGGTATTCAATATGAGAGTACTATAGTACAATTACATAATAGTTGGCATTAAATTCTCGGAAACATTATTACATTGAAACGAAAACATTGTTGTCAAGTTTGTGATTATAAGTATTTCATCATCATTTTTCCTCACCTGTTTAGTATAATTTTCGTAGGCCCTTGCAAGAGATAGATTAAGGCAAAAACGTCAGTGATTTCTCTGAGAATTATGTGCCTACTTTTTTAAAATTATAATATGAATATATAAATTTTTTGATAAGCTCATCTTCTGAACAAGTGAGGTGATGCAATCGTGATACGGTAGAGCTGTCTTTAAAGTTGATCCATATTTTAACATTAGTGTTCGATGGTTCTGATAGATTTGAGTTGAATGATGTTACAAAATCTAGCGTTAACATGGTTGTTACACTGAAATATGGTGCAACATTTTTTCATTATGACAGACAGGAAACATGACATCAACTGGATAATCTTACCCTGGATTGTTTACATTGTTTTTTAATGAAATTCATCTATTGCTAATTATTAAAATTGAAGAGATTCATATTTTCGTTTTTACACAATAACTTTCACATTGAAAAGTATATTTTTTGATTACAGTTCCACAATCTCTGATTGTCATATGATGGAAGTACTTACTACTTTGTGGGGACATTGATTTTTATATCCATTGTAGTTACTTTCGAAAGGTTTATTGGTGGTAAGTAATTTCTCACAAATTGTATTCTCTTCAATATTATTTTATTTCAGTTCTAACCTTAACATCAAACTGGTTTGTAGTTCATCGTTTGTTAGTGGACAAATTTTGAGATTGAATGATCAATATAAGTATTTTCAATTACAGTTTTTAATACGTATATATGTTTCTTTGGTTTGCTTTTTTCTGCTTCCTCTATAAGCTTTAGATATGATTAATTTTTCTACATTATAGTTAATTGTCGTTTTAATCTCTAAGCTGCATTATCGAATCACAGTGGGAATACTTACAATGGACATTATAAACGTGGTACGATCATAACGATTCCCACTTGTCTCCCATTGAACCATTGGCTCATGTTCTCTTCTATGATGAGGAAAGAGCTGAATCACTGAATATGAAATTATTCTATTATTTACGCCAAAAATCATAAGGAATAAGGAACGGATTTCAATCAATGTACAAATCTACGATTCTGGTGCAAGAACGATGGACATGAATTGCTGCTCACGTCATCATGTGATATTATCTCTCTCTATATATGTGTCTTCATTACCTCATAGACATTTTGTTCTCATGGTTACTTTTCTTATTTTATATACAACAAAAATATTTCTGCTGCACACCCTATCTCAACACTATTCTAAAAGCAGGTTCAATTAAACAAGTTCATTATAATCAACTAAAGCCATCTAATTTGGGTTATCTTGTGAGTTTGTGGAAATTTCAATAGAAATTTGAAAAAACACAAATTTCAAAATCAGTAAACCTATATATTTGCTTCTCACATGATTTTATAAAATTATAAAAATAGAAACATATAAGTTGATCATCAATATATTTCGATATGAACAAAATTTACAAATTGGAGATGAATCGAGTAAAGTTTTCGAAATCAAACTTCCAATTTTTAATGACCACGTTTATACAGCATCTTATGCTATAAAATTAATATCAATGCCTAAAAAAACAGGACATCCTGGATAACGGTGATACCTCGGTTCTTGCTAGATTTAATGAAAATAGTACATTCTACTGATCAAATGGCTAGGTACTTGAATACTGCCAAAGATATACAGACATGTTATATAATGATATAGGCTGTAATCAATATAAAATGATTTTGGTTTCATTTTTTTAAAAAGTGTAGTTAAAATTTTTTTCATCCTATGGGTTCAGAAAAAAAGTATTCAGTATAATTTCGGATAGTCTGCAAAAAATGTATGGATACTTACGTTTATTTGAAGGTGATTGACAATGTTTCATGATGAATTTCACTAGTTCGGACTTCCATTGTCTACTATTGTATTGTCTACATTGTCTACTTACGTATTTTGACGTGTAGATTACGAATGCGAAAGGAAAAAATCGGTGTTCTCCCTCATTTCCACAATTACAGCTCCCCAATGCTCTCCAAATTGCAGAATACAAACTATAGAATCACAGTAATTTTGGCTAAATTGTACTTTATGGGATACTCACGGATTTTCGTGATTTTTTCTGGGATGATACCACATGATGGTAGGAATTCAGAATCCTTTTTATTTTTTGTCGATATCAGCCATATTAGCGCCAACCAAACGTCAGAAAGAGCGAAAGCTCAAATTTCTGCAGTCAACTCAATTGAATGCTTCCACATGGATTTTGAGAGAAAAATTCTGGAATATCAGAGGATTTTATTAGAAAATATATAACATATAATAGAAATGCAGCAGTGTTGTCAAATGTCTACTGTTTAAATGGTTTTAGAAAGCAATATGAACTTACACGATTTCTAATTTTCACCAAACTGAGAATGCATAACCTACTTTGGAACTGTGCATTCCTGAGCAAATAGTCTTCATTATGGTATGATTATTCACCAATGTGGAAATAAGAAATAACGGCAGGTAGACACGACCCAATTATAACCAATGCCAAACTGCAAATTCGGACGACATATCAACACATACTCTGATAACACATTCAGCTGCATTAGCTTTAAGCTTACATTGGCAATGAATATAGTATATATCTCTGTCAAGTATTCAGACTACATATATCTTACTGCTATTGTTCGCATTATGTCTATTCAGACTCCTTCTCCCTTTCAATCCTTAAACTGTCAACTTTGTGAACACTAACTGGTGAGCCAAGCGAATGAACTGAGTTCTTGCGAAATTCTTACACACCTTTCCAATGTTTTCATTCTCAAACTACTGATGAACACATTCTAGCTTCCGAAGTGGTAAAAGGACGTTACAAACGATAAAATCTTTCTAACTTCTATTCCAAGTGAGGATCAATTGTTAAAACTCTCCATTTCTTAAATTTATACCCTTTCATTGTCTAAAACAGTTGCAATTCCTTTTTACCTCTTTCGTGTTCAAGGGGGATGTTCTCGACATCAGGAGTAGAGATACGAGTATGTATTGAATTTTAGTTAGCCTACAGGCCTAGACAAGTTTTGTGGATAATTGTATATTACTTCACCATCTCTTGCTTCAATCAGGAAACGTGTCAGTGTAGTGTAACTGTTGGTTAACCCGCGGTCCGCCCCAAATATTATATATCAAGTACATATAAAAATTCGTAGATGAGGTATACCATACCTTCATCAATTAAAATAACACAAATAAAATTCAACTTAGTACGTATTCTATTTGAAGTTGTCTAGTCAACGTGTTTTACTTACTACTGATAAGTTTCCTATCTAGCCTGAGTGTGTGCGAATCAGACTGATGCGATTTAAATATTTTCAAATATCTGTTATGCACACGAAGCATCCATAGATTGAACTTCCTACCATTTTTTCAAAAATGTGCGGGAGCATTGTGCAGCGCACCGCGTACTTACCTTACTTCAGCGTGCTTGATCCTGTTTTGTTTTGTTGAAACAAGCACGAGCGCGTATCGAAATCGATAGTGGGTGAGTGGGAAAGCACTGAAAGCAGACTGTCAGTTATCAGTCGCAGCACAAACAACTCAGTAACCGGACATTTATTTTATTTCTGTCGTTTTCGTTTCTTTGATAAAAGATCTTTCTGTACCAACGTTGACATCAATTAAAATAACACAAATAAAATCCAACTTAGACTTATTCTATTTGGAGTTGGCTAGTTAATCTGTTTTACCCACTACTGATAAGTTTCCTATCTAGCCTGTGTGAGTGCGAATCAGACTGATGTGATTTAAATATTTTCAAATCTCTGTTATGCACACGAAACATCCGTAGATTGAACTTTGTACCATTTTTTTCGAAAATGTGTGCGGGAGCATTCCACAGCGCACCCTGTACTTACCTTACTTCAGCGTCTTTGATCCTGTTTTGTTTTGTTGAAACAAGCACGAGCGCGTATCGAAATTGATAGTGGGGGAGTGGGAAAGCACTGAAAGCAGACTGTCAGTGATCAGGTCGCAGCACAAACAACTTAGTAACCGAACATTTATTTTATGATTTCTGTCGTTTTCGTTCGTTCGATAAAAAATATTTCTGTACCTACGTTGACATGGATCCTAAAAAACGATAAGTCGACAGTAAAAATAGAAGGTTTTTGGCAGAATGGATTGAAAATATTGTTTTATGCTGCTTGATAGGCCTCAAGCGGTTCCAGTGTGCCTTATATGCAATAAAACTGTCGCTATTAATAAAAGTGGAAATTTAAAGCGACACTACATAACAACTCATCAGCAATTCCACAAAAATTCAGACCAAACTATAAAAAACTGGCTCAAGACAGTGCTTGATCCTGTTTTGTTTTGTTGAAACAAGCACGAGCGCGTATCGAAATCGATAGTGGGTGAGTGGGAAAGCACTGAAAGCAGACTGTCAGTGATCAGTCGCAGCACAAACAACTTAGTAACCGGACGTTTATTTTATGATTTCTGTTGTTTTTGTTTCTTTGATAAAAAATCTTTCTGTACCAACGTTGACATCAATTAAAATAACACAAATAAAATCCAACTTAGTACGTATTCTATTTGAAGTTGGCTAGTTAATCTGTTTTACCCACTACTGATAAGTTTCCTATCTAGCCTGTGTGTGTGCGAATCAGACTGATGTGATTTAAATATGTTCAAATCTCTGTTATGCACACGAAACATCCACATCTTGAACTTTGTACCATTTTTTTTGAAAATGTGTGCGGGAGCATTCCACAGCGCACCCTGTACTTACCTTACTTCAGCGTCTTTGATCCTGTTTTGTTGAAACAAGCACGAGCGCGTATCGAAATTGATAGTGGAGGAGTGGGAAAGCAGACTGTCAGTGATCAGTCGCAGCACAAACAACTTAGTAACCGGACATTTATTTTATGATTTCTGTCGTTTTCGTTCGTTCGATAAAAAATATTTCTGTACCTACGTTGACATGGATCCTAAAAAACGAAAAGTCGACAGTAAAAATAGAAGGTTTTTGGCAGAATGGATTGAAAATATTGTTTTATGCTGCTTGATAGGCCTCAAGCGGTTCCTGTGTGCCTTATATGCAATAAAACTGTCGCTATTAATAAAAGTGGAAATTTGAAGCGACACTACAAAACAACTCATCAGCAATTCCACAAAAATTCAGACCAAACTATAAAAAACTGGCTCAAGACCGTCGGTGTACTTTCTTACATTAATAAGAGTTCTTGTATTTCTTTTATAATTCAGAATGTGATTTGAAACCAAAATAATATGTAGCACTTTATTATTAATATTTGTTCATTTTCTGGACCCCGTTAAAATTTTCCCACAGTATCCGGACCCCACCTAAAACTACTTGCCGACCCCTGGTCTAGAGGCATCGCTGTTATAAATATATCCAATAAATACATCATCGTAGGTTTATGATGAATATATCTATTCATAAACAATTCTAGTCACGAGAATTTAAATATTTAAATCAACATAAGATAAGAAACGGGAATCCTGAAGACTATTTCTGGGATATTTTTCACTGATGTCGACAAATTGGAAGTAATCAACTAGATATTATTTTAGTTAGTTATTATATTGTAATTGTAAATATTCAACAAAGATATATCCTCATCTATTTTCACTATACTGACTTTACTAGATATAGACTTGACAATATTTTGTAAAAAGGATAAAATATTTTTCACACCTATCGGCAATTTTTCATCCTCTTAGACTAAGAATATATACAAAATTTTCATATCATTATTCCAATTCTCTAGTGAAAAGTCAAAGCGAGTGAAACACTATCAATTTGATAGTGTTTCAAAATTGTGATCAAAATTGTTCTAACATATAAAAATATCACAACAAATAGTAATTACAAATAGTAATTGATAAAGAATAATTCACATAAGTACAACTGTCAAAATTGGACTGCAAACTTTTTATAATATATTTGAGTCAACAAACAATTCCAAAAAACATTTTTCCCACTAACCAGAATACAATACTCTTGTGTCATGCATTTTTATTTGATTTATGCTAAACCAAAAGGTTCAGTACTACCTTCTGGACTTTATTTTAGTTCAACAACGTTATTTAGGAATTAGTTTCACTCATTGAAAAATATGATTAGCGGATCGAAAATCGGAATAATGTTTTTTATGATTATAATTAAATAACAAAAAACAGATTACAGTAACATTACCCTTTAACATAGTATAACAATAAATAATCAACAATTCAAAAATCAAAATGAAATTAGAATATACAGGATGGCCATTTTTGGCCATTTGCATCAAATATTACTTAAATCTATTCAGAACTGAAATACTTCAGTTTTATATGGTAGGATTCATATTTTATTATCTATTCATAAATGTATTCTTCTACTCTTTGAATTTAACATATCAAGAGATATAAAAACAACATATTAATTCGATAGCCCTGATTCATTTGTTTTCTAGTCACCAATCAATGGTGTTAACAAGATATACCTTGTTAGAATTCAAAAACATGGATGCAGTGACATAATAGAAAATATCTCATAAAAGTATTTCTTCAATCAAATGCAACTGTTATAAAACACAGCTATCTTACATTGGTCACCCTGTATATAGTGTGTATAAAGCAATGTGTTGAAACATAGTTACATTGGAAGAGGAGACAGCTATTGGTATGATTGAATAGAGTTATTGAAGTTTTCTGAATTTTGAGATAACATGTAAAGATCTAACCACGTTTACATAGCATATTATATGAAAATTTCTAACAACCGATGTTACCAAAACCAACGTTAATTCCTGTGTACACACCATTTCCGTCGAATTTTATCAAATCAGTTTACTAACGCTGAGATTTTTGGAAAACGAGTTAGCGATCTAAAACCAGATCAAGTGGTGTGATAATTTAACTGTCAGAAAGTCAATCTATATCAAAGTCAAAATTATGCCCAATTGAGCAGGGTTAGATCTCGCTGCCTGCTTGACTAATTGAGAAAAAGGTATGAAGGAGGAGAACCATCTCTGTGAATCATAAAGTGTCCGTCCAGAGTCACTAAATTAGGGAGCCGCCACTGTAGTGACAGTGTGAATTTTTAATGAAGCGCTAAAAGTTAAATAATAAAGAGAGCTAGATAAAACGAAAATAAAAACCCCCGCTTACAGAAGGTTTTATAATTTCACAATAATTCATTAATGTTATCTCACAATAATTTTGTTAGTTTATATTTACCAAATAATATACGACTACGTGAATATAAGCTCTATATCTACAAGCTCTATATCATCAACAACTTGAGTCATTAACAATATTAAATACTCGAACTCAGCATAGGTCACGTTCTCTATAATTTCTAAGTTCATATCATACAACTTTTGATATTAGCGCCATTTTGGTCAGTTTTTTTACTATAATTTATCGTTTACTAGTGGACACTTTTTCATCAAAATTCCCATTTGAGATAGTTCTTACCTCTACCCTGCATAGAAAAAGGCAAGTGGTTGATGAAATTAGACAAAAAAAAAATAGGTTAGGTTAGGTTAGATTCAAGTTTGGGAAAAAGTAAGATTTCTTGGGACAATATGGCGTTACTAATACAAACGTCAAAATAATATGGTCCCAGAAACAAACTATTCATATCTTCACAAAACATATTTCTTCAAAGTTTTCCATTTTACATATGCCTTATGCCAAATATACGAACGATTATCCAAATGTATTCGCGATGATGGTAGCTAGGGACATCTTTCATAAAGGTAGAGATGAGTTTAAGATGATTTTTTTCACAAAAAGTAGATACGATCTTCTTGATTAGCAGGGCAGTATACTTTAATAATGCACCAAATATCTAAAATATGTAAGAATCCCAAGCCTATTTTTTGCAATTAGTTTTTCCAATATCGTACAACCCCCAAAACTTTGAGAAAAACTTTTTCCTAGCCACATTTTAGCTACTGCGGTGTTCGAAGACAACAATAAACCATCAAAAGAGTCAATCAGTAAAAAATACACCTCGAGACTGTAGTCAACTAATACTGAAAAATACAAATCAATGTTCAAGAAGAATGTGGTGGAGTTGATTTAATTCTGAAAAAAAATCATTGAAATTGATGATGTCATTAAAAGTTGATGACGATTTCATTACTTCAGCGTCTTCGAAATTAACATATCTGAATTTCAATTATTGGCAAGTTCATCGTTCAGATATAACATCTAGCGGACGTATTAAAACTAAGCCAGATGGTAAAACAATGTCCCGTGAAAACTTACGTGTAAGATTAATTTTGATTTTCAATATAAAAGGTTTACAAAATCGCGACACGTGTTTCGATATACAATAGCTTTCTATAGCACTAAAAAAGATTACTTTCACAAAATCAAAATTAAATAACTTGTGATGCACTGTTTGGAACCTTTGGTGTAGTAATGAATATTACTGGAGTTTTTTCCTAACACTGTATTACTTATTTCATTGGAATAAATTACCATTTTCCCAATCACATATTATCTCATGCCATCAAACGCACAGCTATTCCTTTCCCAATAACCACATTTCGTATATCTAAAGAACGAATTCTGGGTATATATCTAATTGAATCAAAATTATAAACACATTTGAATTCTTCACATTCCGTCAGGCTTGGGAATGTTGGTGTTGTAAGCTCGTATAACGGCTGACTGGGACACTACACCTCCTTCTTCTTGTGAAAAAGCGAAACCATCTAAGAAAAGAAAAAAATTAGATGTATTTAAAGTTATTCAAATTAATGTACAAGTCAACGAAATGTTAAAGGTAATTAATAAAAGGTTACACATTTCACCAAAAGGGTAGGTTATTATTCTTTGGAAAACTCATCAGAAGACGCTCCTATGTAGGCCAAGCTTCGACAACGACCACTGAAAGAAATTCGTCATTTGTCTTTCTCTACACTTTTCACTGCAAGGCAACTAGTTTATTGTAGAGCCCAAAAACAAAGCAGTCATTATATATCCCAGACAGCGCTGTTTAAACCCACCATAGGTTCCATCAGTGGTGCTGAGCTGAACCACAAATGCATTGCTATCAAAGCCTGACTAAGTAAAACCGATGATACCCCTCCTTTATGAAAAGCCTCACGAAAGGTGGTTGAAAAAAAATAAAACAGGATTATCTCTTGATCCAAAAAAGATATCGATCTCGGTCCAATGACATTCTCTAGCTGTAATGATGTAGGTAAAACTATAAAATACTTATAAATTTGACGCCTTAACCTTCAATTTAGAGATCAACCTCCCATTGTTTTCAATTTTTTTCATCATTCGTGAAAATTTGCCGAGATGCGAATTTGTTTTCTTATATGCAATTTTTTCAGCAAAAGTAGGGGAAATAACAAAAAAATTAGTGATCGCACATAGAGAAATTTTGAAATATTCGGCTTTTTTGAACCTTTAAAAATTTCTACAGGCGTTCATTCGCAATATTAGGGCACGGAGGCTTTTTTGAAGTTAAAAAAAGAATTTTTTTTAAAATACCAATATTTTTCAACGTGCTAGCAATCATTTTTTTGTAATCTCCTATACTTTTGAAAAAATATAGTATAAGAAAAATATTCGCATCTCGGTAAATCTTCACGATGAAAAAAAAATGGAAAAAATGGGAGTTTCACCTTGAAGGTCAAGGTCTATAGTTCTCTAGTATTCTATATCATTTCAGCTATAGACTACTGTTGAACTGTCATCGATATATTTTTTGAATCGAGAGAAATTCCTTTTTGAAATCTTCAGTGCGCCATATATAGGATCCACAAAAGATTCAATCCAAGAATAAAATGATGGATGAGGCTCCCGAAGGCGCTCCTTTGTAAATCCAAGCTTCGACATCAAAGTTTATCGAAGATTTATTGGTCTAGTCATTCAAACTACTGATCTTGATCTGCTTCTACTACTACTGTTAAAAAATTCGAAATTTCGTCAGAACTGTTAACAAAACTGTTATGTGCTAGTTTTCCTCTATTAATTAATTTCCATCCATTATATATAATATTTGCATATATTATTCACTATGCAAAAGATAAACACTATGCAAAATAAAACTTACACAATATAAACAAATACATTTGTGAAACAAACATGTGAAATACTTGAAAAAATAATTCCAACTTGTTATGAAGCTGAAAGAGGCAGATTATTCAAATAGAGAAGAAAAACGAGAAACATACTTGATATATAACCTAATAGTCGAGAACATGGATAATTTCTGGAGAACGAATCTTTCATATTCATAAACACTTCTGTTAATTTCTGAAAACCTAGTAACCATTTCAATTTCATACACTTCTGTTGTAGAAAGTTGTTTGTTGAAATAAGTGTGACTTTTCATAAACATTAAATAACATTAAATTCGTTCGAAAAAAAAAGAACAAATTCGACAAACTGGGAAGTATGATTTTCAAAGACTGAGCGGCTTCATTACTATTCATTCTGCAAAAGCAAAGTATTGTTTGTAAGTATAGGAATGTATAAAAAATGTAAAAGAAAATGAATTTTGATGAGAATATTTTTCTGGTATTGTTCATCATGGCAATACAGCTGGAAGTAGAATACATAAATAACAATTGTCCCTAGGTTGTCAGTTCCACGTGGTGACTACCATAGGGCAAGCATAATATGGCTGTCTTGCAAAATCTTGAAAGCATATTATTGTTCATTATCAATTGGACTGGAAGCCTTTGATGTTCCGATAAAAATTGCTCTCATACCAACTATTAAATGTTCAAAAACATCTCGTCATTACAAAATACAGCCTGCTGAAAACCGAAGGACGAACTCAAAGCATTCATGATTCGACACCAGACAGCGCTGTTTCGACCTGCTATAGATCTCATCAGTGTTGCTAGGCTGAACCACAAATGCATTGCTTGACATAAATGTCATTAAAGAACAAAGCTGAGTACATGAGGGCGATAGCATCTAACCTCATGAAGAAGTCATCCATGGGATCAACAGAGAACTTAAGCCTCGTCCTCAGTTCATCACTGCAGCTTATACTACAAAGAAACTAGCTGAAAACCAGAGCCCAAACGCAACGCATTTATGATTCGACATCAGACAGCGCTCTTTCGACTCGCCATAGGTCTCATCAGTAGTGCTAAGCTGAACCACAAATGCATTGTCAAAGGACAAGCCTCTGTACATAAGGGCAATGGTTTTAAGCTCTCTGCCTTGCAGTGAAAGCTGCAGTGATAGACAGAGGACGAATCTCGTCGGCGGTCGATGTCAAAGCCTGGCTTTGCAACTGACCGCTTGGGGAGCACTGTTTATCATTCATATTTGAAGATTGAGTTCTCTGTTGAACCCACAGGTGTCGTCTTCGTACAGGGAGATATCGTCGCCCTTATATAAAATACAGCCTACATCAACATATTATTTATACAATCACACAAGTCCTTGAAAACTTTTATGCAAAATTACTTTCTGCGAAAAGTGAGATGAACAGGTAATACAATTTACTGAATATGATTACTGTCAAGAAAAATCCTAACTTCCTTAAATTTTCAAAATAAATATTTGGTGAAGGTGTTTAGAAGCCTATTTTAAATATGTTGAAACAGATTTTATCTAAAATATAAATGACATTTTTTCATTCCTACAAATAAAATTACATTTACTAATTCCGATTGTTAGTTGTCAATAGTGAGGTTATGAACTTGAAAGTTCTCAGGTTCACTTTCACTTAATATTATTAGATATTGCCAAAACTAATAATGAAAATTCTCTTCTCGTTTAGTTCAGATCTTACCTATTTTCAAACGAGATATAGCAATCAGGTTTTTTGACTACCAGATGATGACAAACTTCTTTGGAGGCTTGAAATTTGAAAATGCGAGGTAAACTTTTTCTAAAAGTCATTTCACAGAGATGGTAACACAAAATAATAAAAGAAAAGACTCAACGGCTTTATAGATGAAAATAAAAAATCTTCGAATACGTAAACATTGGAACTTATTGGAAAACACTTTTCTCACACCAGAACAAAAATAACGTCTTTTGGCCATTATCTAAAATGTTTGTAATTTAATTGTTTGGTGACGAGTTGCTCAAATTAAAAAAACGAACCGCTATTTTTAAGCAAATATAATGTTCCTTGAAAAGATGTGACACAACAATTATAGTACCAGAACACGTAATGAATATACCCACTGACATAAAAAGGTCAGAAAGTCCTTAAATATTCAAGTTAATATTAAAAAACCCTTGCTGGGTGATCAAACAATGATATTGTTTTATCCATCAATTGTTAGAACAGACTTTTATATTTATTAAACTGTTACAAATATTGATGTCATTTGTTTCAAACGAAATGTGATATGACGAATATTTTGTTTATTTTTTTTTTAGTTTTCACCTATGGTGAAATTTTATTCATATATGTACTGAATATTCTCTTTCAATAACTAGTTGCGTTTGCATGTCTTGTATTTTTATTGAGAATTATTATTGCGCTAAATAAAAGATTATTATTATCATTATTATTATATACTCTCCCATTTCAAAAAATAAAAGTGAATGCCTCTTCCGCTTAGTGGTTGAAGTTATAGTGATGGAACTGACATGTTGATATAACACCTTAAAAACAAAAGTATACGGGTCCAAGATTTCTCTTTATTTTTACGTACCATGCCGTAAATGTCTATGTACTGTTCTCGATGGCCACCCTGCACATGTTTTCTTAATTTTATGAAACGCACCGTACTCAGCCAAGTGTTTGTCCAAACTTCCGAATAATGTTCTATCCGGCTTTTGTCTCTCCGGAAATAATTCAAAATAAATTTGTTCTGTTTTCGTAATATTCCTATCAAATTTATAATACAGTTTCAACATATCTCGTTTTTTTTCATTTGAGAATGACATTTCGCCTGAAGTATTTGTGCAAACTTATGATGTTTGATGAGTTCTGACAACTAGTGTTCATTAAAGAAAAATTTTCTATGGAGTCATGATTATCTCAGATGAAGGGTTTTTTGATACCTGTGGTTTCACGAGAGCATAGCATAACAAATTATACATCAATGAAATCCGAATGAGAACTACAAATTTCCTGTATAAAAAAACAATTGGCGCCCATAATACAAAAAAAAGTTGATGATGATTGTCAGAAGACGAAAAGAAAATTCAGATAGTAAATCTGAACATGAAAACGTAGCTGAAAAAAAAATATCAATGAAAATGTGTTTTCGGTTATGAGCTATGTTGTCAAATAACGGAAAAAAAAATTTGATTTTTAGATTTTTCTGGATATTTTCGGAAATACTCGAATTTTCCAAGTTTCAAAACAGTATTTTGTTAAGCACAAAAAAACGCAACTTTTCCCCAATTTAGGCTTCGACGTATCTCTTGCAGTTTAGGAGATTCCAATGCAGGGGGTCGAATTTGAATTACCCTGTATATTCTCTTCCCATTTTCTGATACCTTACTAAAATGCTATCTCCTTCAACAGTTCAGGTGGTTTCAATTTTCTACTTTTATTGGCTTGATTTTCAACCCTCACCTCGTATTTCATTTGTTGTTCTGGTGTTTTCGGTATTTTCTTTGTAAATTCAAGCCTAATACTTTGATTTTCTGTAGAGCTTATATGATGAACAACATGATTGATAATGATGCCTTACAGCTGTCTCGGGGCATTTCTTCCAACCACCAGGAAAATCGTCATAACAGTTCATGAATAACTTTAGATTTTTAATAGCATGTTCTGCAATTCCGTTTTCTTCAGATCATATGCCCATTCATGAAATCCTCCATATGCAAATACTTTTTCACAATCAGTAACTATATTCTTTATTTCATTCACAAATGGTAAATTACCTAAATATTACTTTACAAATATAATATTTTCCTTCATTGCTTTTGCCGAGATATATCTCGTTGCTTCATAAACAATTATAATGAATGGTTCCGTTGTTTTGTTTAGTCAGACTTCTTTTGGATTTTAGCAAAATCAACAGGTATGGTTTCATATGAATTTTCAGAACATTTAGTGATATGAATGAACTTATGTTTTGGCATTTGAATTTTGCTATTTAGTACGTCTTACAACTTTTTGTGTAATATTTGATATTCTTACTGATATTTTTCCATATGAATCTATCTTTAATTTTATAAAAGGTTTTATAATACCATCACGACCTCCTGCAGTAGCATCTTCGTGATACAATTTCACTATTTCATTTGTTATATGCTTGTACATAAAGATGTACCATATATATCTTAATCTGACGCGCTTGAGTATTTCAAAATGGCGAATTTTTTGCACATTATAATAATGGCCGCGAGTTTGCGTCAGATCGAAATCGTCAGATTATTGAACGAGACCTTTTTTGTTGCACTTAACACCCCCTTAGAAAATCTGACGCGCTCGATTAATTTTTTTTTCTTTTCACTTTTAACCCTTACGTACAACCACCCGCATCATGCATACGTACAGATTAACATACGAACATTATTCAAAATACATAGGACATTGATGCTATCAATATCTGACGCGCTCGAATATGCAACAGTATTTTTTTACATATTTGAAAATCTATATCCGCTTCCCCCACCAATGAAAAGGTATATATTATATAACAGTTTTCTTTTTATCATCTAAGCTTTGCAACCTAATATGTCTCTATGACGATCGAGTAAATCCCCATTTTGCATGAATAGTGTCTTCTGTATAATTCAGTGTTCATATGGAAGTATTTGTTTCAAAAGAAAAATTTCTTTCATGTAATTCAATGTTTATATGACAGTAGCTGTTTCAGGAGGGTTTTTTCTTTCAATTTGTGTCTAAGAGTTACTTCTTTGCATTTTAAAATTGATTACTTCTTTCCTTTCTTTGGAAGATTCCCACATTTTTTTTTGTATTAAGATGGAGTAGTAGAAAGCTAAAAACTTTCTTTCCTAAAAATGTCACTCCTAAAAATATAATCCTTTCAATATAAAAAACTGTGTATGGTTCGAAATTTCAAATTTTGTCATTATTAACAAAGTCTTCGTTACATTGACTGTTATTGCATTATTCAGATTGTTACCCATTTCTACTTGTATATTGAACATCTGTCTGGTTCCTTTCATAAATTATGTGATGTTTCAAAAGTTGAAGTAACTCTCTTCTTGATTTTATGTCATTATGGCATATTTGTTTCTATGTGTAGTAAGAATTTTTTCGAAGATAATTGTCTGCTGAGTGTAAAAACCGTTGTTTTTCATTAAAATATTCAAATCTTCATCAAACGACAGCATGAAAAAATGTTCCATTCCTCCACTGAATTTTTATTCAACAAAGAGAAATACTGTATAGGTAGAATCTCAAATGATGTATTTTCTGATCGTCTGTATTCCATTTGTTGGATACGACCATGAATTCAAGTTGTTTTCTTCATGTATTTGGGTTATCATCTTCAATGTGGAATGGGTTGGTTAATTTTAATCATTTTGGAATTGTCTGTCACCAATGCCAGCCATTTTGACAATATGTCTGTCTGACATCATTGTCTGTCACCAATGCCAGCCATTTTGACATCATATGGTCGAGTTCTCTTTCAATAACTAGTTGCGTTTGCATGTCTCCCTTATCTGCACTGCTTTTATCATAATTGATGTGAAGTATTTCGTTTTCCGGCTGCGCCATATAGACTTTCAAAGAAACAAGAGGATGAATCCCTAACTCACAACTTTACTTGTTTTATTATTTTGCCATAGCAATAGAAATATATGAAAAAGAAGTATACAGAGTGTTCATATACTACAATATTAAAACACTAGGAACACTTGAATCGCCATCACCGAATAAATAAATGTAATTTTCGGCTAAAAGAAGTGAATAGGCAAAGGCGTGTTGAAATAAATCCTACTCACGTGACAACTCCACGTCCTGCTCAAGCCTAGGAGGGGTTCTTCGAGTGAAAACATTCCTCAGCAAACGAGCAGTCTCTGAGAGTCTGTAACCATGTTAACTACTGCTTTCTGGCATTTATTACAGCTTATTGCAATCGATTAGTTTAAACAGTAAAGCACAAGCTAGAGTAAGCGAGAGTGGGGAAGTGGTAGAAGTTCAACAGATCACCTCAAAAATCGAAATGTTTTTGATTATACTTCCACTCAACTTTGATCTGAATTGAAAAAAGCACCCTACTAAACTACCCTTAAAATCTAAAAGTCTATTTCCTTAAACATGATTTGATACAACAAATCTCAGATGACTTGTTATAGTTATATGTATAAGGTGGGTAATGAAAATATAAAACATTTGCATTAATTATAGATTTGTGTTTTTACTTCTGAATTTCGATTAAAATTTTCAATATTTTCTATGTAAAGCACTAGGTAAAGCTTACTTGATTGAATCAGGCATGTCAGAGATATTTTCAATTATCGCTAAAAAAGAGGACGACGTCATGATTCGATCCGATCTAATAGTGCTTCAATTAGATACTTGATTACCTGAAGAATATGAGTTAATAATAAATTCTTGCGTCTTGATCAGTTTCGTTATTAGTAAATTATACTTATTGTGTGCATTGACATGGCTACTTCAGTTCTCTTCAGGGCAAATAATTTTTTTCTGTTAACGGCAAGTTCATTATTCTCAATTATATGACGGTCTCATACACCAAATTTCTTCGTATACCGTCGATATTCTGGTGGGTATGTGTTCGCAAACAACGGGAGTTTCAAAATCATCATCGATACTTACATTTGAGAATAAGAGAAAAAATGGACCTGTGAAATCAAAAACCCATCTGTAGTAAGAAATAATGTGCCTGTTGATAAAAACCACAAACTTGCAATTAGAAGAACAGTACATTCATTTCATTTCAAGAAATGAATAGAAACCCTAGACAAAATAATTAGAACCTTGAAAGTATACTAAAGTATTTCTTCAATGATAGGCAGAAATAGGCAGGAATTACATTTTAGCTGGAAAATACAAAACAGAAATTCGAAAGTGAAATATTTACTGAAGGAGACATTACCTAAGGCAGATAAGAGAGTTTTGACGTGAGGATAGAAAGTTTTATTATCCGGACGAAACTTGACCTAACGAAGGATATACCATTGGAAAGATGTGGCAAGACAAAAACACCACAAGTTCATGTCAAGAATTTTTAGAAGGCTGATCCATCAGATTAAAGTCGCCTTCTGGAAAAGGTAAGCTACTGATTATTACCCACATTGAAAGTTTTGATGGTTTTGTTGAGGGTGGTTTATGGATGTTGAGCTTGACGAATATTTTGAGCAAATTATAGACCCCATTCCACCTAACTCTGTGATTGTGATGGATAATGCAAGTTGTCATTCCTGAGAAGTTGAAAGAATACCGACTAATTCATGGAGAAAAACGGTTATCATTAAGTATGGTTTAAAAAACCATTGTCGTCAGTATGTTCAAATGAAACTAGTTTCACGGAATATGTAGGCAACAAGACGGCACTGCGTCTGCCCATTGAACTCATTTGGGCTCAAGTAAAGAGTTTCCATGAAAAAAGAAACACGATATTCGAAATGAAAGACGACAGAATACTCTCTTCAAGGAGTTCTTGAAAATTTCGATTCAAAAAAAATATTTGATTGAATAGTTATGGCGTATATTCATCCATATACTGTTTTCTGCTCACAAAAATCATATAAGAACATTTTGGAATGTGGTTTGAAAGGGGGATAAGTCTCAATGGTTATGACGTCACAGACATTTTTGAAACTTCTATTTTCATTCGAAATCGGAAAATTTAGGCGTTACTTCCGGATGAATGAACTGTTTTCTTATAGAGCTGTCGAATACTATTGATTTTATCTTTTTTTTTTAATAAAATACTTACATATTGCGAATTGCTCCAGTGCATGCATAGGTCTTGCAAAACAAATACAAATTATTACCAACACAAATAATTGTAACGACTCGACGATCAATCATAACTCATTCTAGCTGAACAATTTATTTCAAATCACTTGTACACTCTTTAACAAAAATTACAATCTTTAACATACTATAAAAATATCTGTAACATTCTAACATCTCATAATACTATTCACTCAATAGAACAACATGCTTCTTAATATACAGTGTTGTCATTTGCAACATATGAGATTTTTTTTATTATTTGCACAACCAAAATACAGATAGTGCTGAAAATTGGTGCATGTTCGGTAATCATTTCAGGTGCACTTAGAATGGTTGCGAGTCAAACAGCATACAGGGTATGTCAGCAAATATAAAAATTGCTCCAAGAGTAAACATGGCCTCCTAAGACATATTTTTGTTTTTCAATTTTTTTTCGTTAATTTTTTCCCAGTTTGTAATTTTTTTATAATCACCTTAAAAACTTTAACTAGTTAATCATAAAATCAGTTGATGACAACCTTTCTTCAAATTTTTGTTAGGGAAATTCTTCAAATTCTTGTTAGGGAATCACAAACTCCATGTTTGTTGCAACGACATTTAACACAACTTCAGAAATTTGCAAACCATATTTTCAACGAGGTAAAACATTAGTAATGGTAATATGTATATTCAAAAACTCTCATTTGAAGTGAACATTTTGTATTTAAGACTAAGGTGTTGAAGACACCATCCTAGCAAGCCATGATGAACCCCTCAGTTTCCGACTTCAGCCCACTCGACCTGAGAAAAGCGAACGTCAGGTACTTTGATGAGCCAAGGTATCCAATGTTATTGAAGAAGACCCCATGCATTGGCTTATCCTTGTATTCCCGCAGAAGTAGGGTGATCTTTGCGGCTTTGATCTGAGCTTTTTGCTGAACGGGTTCCAACTCGGTGACAGAGTTGTAGTCACCTCGTTCAGTGTCGAAAACTATATCGAGTTCATCAGCTGCTCGGGCAGCTGCCCTGAAGAGAAATGTCCTCTTCCTGCTCTCTCATGGTCACGGACCATGCAGAGACGAGGATCCGAACTCCTGACGACTCTACAGGCTATATCCACTCCAAACTCAAAAGTCCACGGCCTCCCTGTTGTCGGGGGAAGTACAATCGTGGGACGGACGATTTGGGATGCAAACTTCCATAGAAATGCATCATTTTTCGGGTATTTACGCCGAGTTGATACAGTTCCTACCGAGTCCACTTCACTACTCGAAACGAGTAGAGTTAGATTGAAACGGCAAGCATATTTGTTGCAGCAACTCAGTTTTTTCCCAACAGTTCCGATGAACAGATCTGTTGAAGTTTGTATTGATACTTGCCGCGGAGTGAGTTTTTCACTGCTGTTACCTCTTGTGAGTGGCGTTGTTCCACCCTAAGGTAAGTATACGTCTCTTTGGCATACAGATGGTCTAGGATGCTTTCATCTACGAGCTGCACATCCTCTTCATAGTCCCCGCATCATCCTCTCTTGAGATGGACCATTGCACATTTTTCTATCTCGAATTTCATACCGATAGCATGCGTGTACTCTTCCACCACCCTCAAGGACTGATGGAGATCCTTCTCTTCAGAGGCATAAAGTTCAAGATAGTCCATATGAAACAAATGTGCCTCCGGTTTTCGGGGGTGCCACAGTTATACCCTCGAGTATTTCTGAGCGCAACGGATAATGGCAGTAGTGAGATGCAAAAGAGTGAACCACCCTGTTTGGACTCTGGCTTGACCAGATGTTATGGTGAAGCGAGTTCGCCAGAGTGGTATCAGTTGTTCAATGCATCTCACTATTTTGTCGGGCATCGCAAGGCATCTGATCAAATGTAAGATGAGCTCATGCGAAATTGTATCACATGCCTTACGGTAATCGATCTAGGCCATAGAAAGGTTACGCTTATATTGTATCGAGTCCTGCGTTATACTATTATTATTATTATATCATTATTATTATCATTGTTATCATTATTATAATCATATATATATGATTCATCACTAGTTATGATCCTTTTGAGCAAACCTGGATCGCCGTTGACGTCATTCAGCAATTCCTGAGCAGTGCCCATCAACGCTGGTGTTTCACAGGAATCCATATTGTTTCCAAACCTCTTTTTATCAACGACTCATTGAAAAAAACAAGAATATTGCTTTGCTGACGACAGCATACTCATTTTGTCATTACATTTGGATTCCAGGACAGTGGCTGCGGATGACATCGTCACCGGCAACAGGATGTTGCATATTTTAATGAGGATCTAGAAGTGATTTCAAATTGTGGTGACAGTAACTATGTTCAATTCAATGACACGAAAACCCAGGCATCGGTTTTCCCCAAAGAGATGAATGTCTCTGTCAGGACAGACGATTCCGCTTTCTGCTTAAATGAGTTCGTTGGGAGGTCAAAATGGACACCAATACGTCTAGGCACAACCATACTAGACACAATCAAACTGTACACACCTCAGCAACTTTTGATGCTTTATGAAGCTCATATCAGACTTTCTTCAGAGTAATGTTTTCATGTATGAATCTGCGCCCCTAAGTATACCCAGAATCTGCTGGATTTCATCCAGAAAAGAGTCATCCGCCTGATTCGAGACGCGAACATCACTTGCAACCTTGATAGCCTGAAATATCGAAGAAAGGTTGGGAACTTGTCTCTATTCAGTGGCTGAGGCCACCATACTTCTCAGATGGTCAGTTCGTTCAATTTTCCGATGGTGATTTATGAAACGTGCGCACGATCATTGGCAGGAAGCAGCAACCCCTTCTGTTGAACAGTGTTGGCTGCTGCTGACGCAATTTCCGGTATATTCCGTCGATTTTCTCACAACAGGACTCTGCTTTGATGGTTTGACCCGGTTGCAGAAAGTTGATCCCATCAACCGCTGACAACGACACAGTAACCATCGTCTGTTTTTTGTGTGTTTTCGCCTTTGGAAAGTGCCTTGGTGGCTCATTTGTGTTCGTCTCAAACCATCAAATACCGAATGTTGGTTGACGCCCAGTCCTTCCGCTATCCCACGCACCATTTGTGATTGGTCAGTCTCCACCAGGTCCTCAAATCCTCGTCCTGTATTACTGTAGGTCGACTACTTCGGAGCTCATCTTCGATGCTTAAACTAGTGTGATTCTTTTTCAGTTTGTTTGAAGGTGGTTGACAATGTTTCGTGATGTATTTCATCAGTTCGGACTTCTATTGTCTAATATAATATACTTATTAAACGAAAATAGCAATTTTATCAAACAAAAAACTGAAATCACAAAAAAATAACATACAAGCTACCACCAAAAAAAATAAAAATTGAAATATTAATAGGAGCTGAAAATTAAAAAATATTATCAACGAAAATTGAACAATAAAAATTGAAAATTGAAAGATTTCAAACCAAGTTACGTCACTTACGTAAGTCACATAAGTGACGTCACTTACGTGAGTCACGTAAGTCACTTACGTTACTTGACGTGACTTGGTTTGGGATCTATTGATTTTTAATTTTTGTTTTTCAATTTTTGTTAATAATAGTTTTTGATTTTCAGCTTTTCCAACCGAACATATTTTCCAAAAATCTTCACCGAGTTGAACATCATTGATTAAATTTTGTGTCCACATTTTCAAGTATATTCCTCATATGAGTAGAGCCTTTGCGTGTTTACAGTACTGAAACATATTTATAAAAATGCGGGGGAATGAAAAAATTAATGTGTTTGGAATAAATTACAATTGACCTAATGAATACCTCGATATCGCTGAACATTAACTGAGAATGGTAGTTACTCAGTCACACGATGTAAGTGAAATTATAATCCGCTTAGAAACCGATTCAATTTTAGATCTTTCCATAGATTACCTTCGGGAGTATACTCCTTTCTTGTATAATAAAGACGGTAAAATATCCCGATCAAAAATTCTATTGAAACTTGTTCATTTGAAATTAAAAAAGAGGTGACGGACTGACAATACCGTAAAAATCAAAATAGCGATAACTATAATGTGTTTCATTGAAGATTTTTTCCATGATAGTTTATTTTTTGCGATCAAATTGTCAACTGAAAACCAGTCGGTCTAACATGGATGTTGAAAATGAGTTTCTTGAGGTGAGTACAAACCTGTCAACAGAATAGTAATAATAATGATAATAATAATTATTGTTATTAGTATTATCACCACGGCGGCACTTTTACGATATTGACGAGACACCAGTGTTGCTCTACGTTTTGGGGAATGAGAAATGTCGAATTTATTAGAACTCTTTATTCCCCCCCCTCAAGCTCATGCAAGCGGATAGAACTGATGTGGTCCTTCTCAACTACCAGAGTAAGGCGATATTTGTCGTGAAGTTTTCAGCTCCTGGCGAGACGAATATCGTCCGAAAATAGGCGAAGAAACAGACAAAATATCGTGATTTTCTCTTCGAACTCCGCAGACTCTATCCAGATGACTCTGTCAAGATTGTTGTTCTGATTATTGGAGTCCTTGGCCCTCTCTACTCCTGATGACTCCTACCTTATATCATCATATGCACCGTTTGTAGTGGAAACTACGAGGGTCCCCAAATTATCGTCTCAGATAACTGTAGATCGATCACTTCAAGGCAACAAAATGAAAATTTGGAAAAAATTAACAGCATCAATAAAATTCTCTATCGAGCAGTATACACCACGACACAGTAGAATAAATTTTCTTTGAGATATGTAGCTACAACACATGACATTGGAACGGATAGAACTTCAGAAACAACCCAATATATAAAGAAATATTTATTACTTTTTTTATCACATCTTCATTTTGGATTGTGGCCAGAATGAATTCAAGAAGAATCCAGAAGAATATATTTCTTCTATTGCGAAAAAATGCAACAATTGCGCTTCTTCCGGTTACAGGATATTTCACAAAAGGTAGTTCCGTGAGAGCATTTGAGATATATGAAGATAAGGTGAAAGGCTTCGTCCTTTCTTGCCAACCAAACCCTGTGATCATCGGCATCTATTTTGCTGACAGGTAATCAATAATGTAGCTTTGCTCATCTCTGTATCAATCATTTGGTATGACTGTGGCAAATAGCCGCCAAACTATGATGTATCCATCACACTTTGAGTCAAAGCGTGGCGCCGACCACCAAACAGCACTGCCTTGATAGGATACGAATGCTAGTGGCTGCTTAGAAGTCACTATTGAGGTGAGCGACTAGTATCGTGGTGCGTGACTAGTATCGCCCATTCCAAGAGCCTCCGCGTATTCTGAATAATCCGCCGGCTGCTGATCAGGTAGAATCCTTCTGGAAGGATAAATATGAACACCCGCACCCACTCAACTGAGACACTTTTGCTTTCAGCAGAGAGCTTTGACAGCCTGAGCTTAATGAACAGTGCAACCCGATAACTCCAGTGGACGTTCGAAGGGCTCCAGTAGGTTTCAAGAACTTTGCTGCTTCAGGCCCAGATGAACTGAACACTTATTGGTGAAAAAAATGCCCAAGCAACAACTGCCATCTGGCCAGAGTTTTTCAACTCGTGACTGAAAGAAGAGCTGCGGATTCCGGATTAGTTTGTCGTAGGGCGGACCGTTCTGATCCCCAAAAGCAAAGATTTGCCGATTGCTTAGACTTACAGACCGATAGCATGCCTAAATTCGTGTTATATGTTGTTTACAA